GGGGTGTTTGTCAGGGGTAATAAGGCTACAATTTGAGTGCAATATTAAATACAAAAGCCTAGGCTAGGCTGTCTTGTCTCCTCATTGTACTTTAAAAGGAAAGGCAACTATTTAACAAGTAGCCCTGCTGTTCACCATGAGATTAAAAGCGTAAAAGGCAATAGCAAAACTGAAAGGAAGAAGACCATATTAGAGCGACCATCACACATCTGCTAATTTCCAGAATGAATTGTTCAATCTGACCAACTAAAGGAACAAGGAGAGGATGAGAAACTATGATAATGATTGTATATAAAAATACAAAGAAGATGAAAAGAGAGAAAAATAAATAAAGGTGAAAAACAATTGTAAGAGTAAAACATGAAAAAAAAATACACATTGAAAAAAAAGACACTCCATCTGTATGTCTGTTTTTATCCATCATTCAAGGCAATAATGACCAGGTCTACTTCAGCTAACTTGGGTGCTGAAAAGGCGAGGGCAGCTTAACGGCAACACTGATGTCAGATCAATTTTAAGTATTAGTGACAGTTTTATTGCAACACAAATTGGTCCCATGGCCTAGAATTAGAGGTGTTATGGTGTTATGGAATTATTACTACAGCGCAACATTCAAGGACAGGAAGTAAGATCGATAAATGTTGATGTGAAAGAAGAAGCACACCACACCAAAGTACCTGCCAACAACCCATTGTCAGATCAATGATAAGGCTAGGGAATAGGCATAAAACTCTTGAACAAAAGTCTGAGCAGGGAAAAAGGGTGAAATCAAAATCATCTTGGGAACTGCTTTTAAAAAAAGGGGGGGGGGGGAGGGGGGTGTCTGATTTTTTAATATGAATATATGCTGTATGTATTGCAGTGTGTCCATACACACAAAAACATCATAGATATAACAAAAATAACTCTCCACAGTACATTACATTTTTTTCTCCAGTCTTATTTCACTGTTATGTCCATAACACACAAAAATATCTACTTATTAAGTGAAAAGCTCAATTGTGTAAACTTAGCAAACAAAGTAAAGCTAGTGAATATTAGTTATGAGACTTGATACTGATGACTGTAACTATGCCATAGACCAACCAAATTAAAAATTTTAACACTAAATCATTTATCATCAAATAAGGTCTATCAGATGAGCATACTTATCACACACTTTTAGCTATTTTTAAGTGTATACGAAAAGCTTTAAGCACAAATCTAACATTGACTTGATCTCTAAATGTTGTGCACTGTATCAAGGAAAATTCTCACCTCGATTGTCATGTGATTCTCAGGCCAAAATCAATTTCCAAAACATTTTGGCTAATTCTTTGATTGACCTATTACCTAAACACACAAGACTCCAAAAATATCCAAAAGGGGCAAATACTTTTCGTGCGCATGTGAAGCAGAAGCGCGGACTCAATGTAATGATATATGCACCAAATGTCGGGAACGAATAAGACTATGATAAGAGGCTTTCTTTTGGTGATAGTCATAGGGACGATTGCTCAGCTATGTGGCTTTCCAAGTGACCACCCCCTACAGTAAATTTACGGAAGACATCAGAAGCGGACATTCTGAGAGACTTTTCTCTTATAATTCGTTGGACAACTACGTTATAAGTTCTTCGAGCGCAGCTGATTTCTCAACTAATGTTTAATCCCAGAGACCTATCTAATGTTCTATAGCATTCAAGCGCGTTGCGCATCATATGCCTCGGTCAAACCAAACATTACACGCAATCACCCAAACACCAGTCAAAAACCTTCTCTCAAAGATGCATTTCCAGTGACCTATCAAAAACATTTCAGACCCCCCCCCCCCCCCCCCCCCAACATCCTCCAGTCCTAGACCTGTGTCCGAAGAAAAAAATAGGTGGGAAACACTGTCTATCACTCTCTTTGTTCTGCGCGAGGGGCAGTCTCACCAAATATCCGGTTGTCTAGACTTGTCTTATGCAAGCTGTGCAGGTTGTAGAGAAAATTGCGTTTTGTCAAGTGTTACTTGTCCGCGTGTTTCACAGATCGAAGCGTGCGTTCAGACTTAAATTTAGAGGGAGTGACAGAGCGTTTGTAGGTCTAAATTATACAGTAAAAAAAACACATCATATGACGAACGCTTGCCTTTGAACGGAGCCTGCTTTTGTACATGCGTTTGGGCGGAGACTAGAGGCCTACAAGTTCGCACCAGTCAGGATCGCAAGATTATGTGAACTCTTCCCCGCCCATTGCACAAGTTGTCTCTACTCTCAAATTTGCGAGACAGACTGAATTTAATTTGTGTGGTTACAACATGATGCGTAAGGACAAAAGCGGGGGAAGAGATGGAAGGCTATAAATTTTAGACAGGTAAAGGGGAGGAGTAGCTGGATAAGGGTAGATCTTGAGACTCAAGATAGGATAATGAGTAAAAATGACAGGCCATAAGTTATATAAACTCACCAAGGGGTCACTTCAGTTCATTTTAGAGTAAAGTGAGACCATTTTACCGGTTGTGAGCCTGAACATGGGTCACTGTGGATTCTTCCCTTGGTGCGTCGGCTAAGATCCCATTTGCTTAAGATTCCACATTTTCCTTGCTCTCGAGCATAGGGATCTAAGGCGAAGACTACTGTATTTTCAAGACATCAGGGAGGCAGCCATTTTAATATAGCCAATGACAGTCCAAAGCTTATGTGAACCACAAACAGTGTGGTAAACCTTCAACTAAATCATTTGTCAGATCAGGTAGGCTGGTTGTCTTTATTTTTCTATGCATTCAGAGTACAGTATTGTCAACAATATCGTTGTAGACTGAACTGTGCTCCGCATTCTCTCATTTTCCCAGCCCACTTTGACAAAAGTTTGGTGACCCCTTCCCTAGACTACTGCTTGAAGAATACATCTTGGTCACTTCAAAAGAAGAGTAGAATAACTTGGCCCTGTGCAAAGCCACCTTCTAACAGAGGGAAACTGTTTTTCAAGCAAAAGAAGAAAAACGACTACCTTCAAGCTAAGACTAAGATTTTTTTAAAAACAATATGCGCATAGCCACAGGCTATTATTTTATATTTAAAGTCAATAAGTTTATGAATAACAAATTTTTTATCTTGATATATCTAGCCTCAATTGTTGATGAAAAATATGATTAAGTTAATACAAATTGAGACAAACTGGTGTGCAAAGTATGGGTGACATAGATTCACCTGTTAAAAATATATTAATTTGAGGATAAATTGTGCCACGAATTCTTTACCACACTATAGATCTACACTCAGCTGTCCACCATCAGCACTTGTACTACATTGCTAGAACCACAGAATGTCAACCAGATCTGGACTTGGGGACTACTTACCCAGTGCGGTCCCCTCTCTTTTGTTTACGTGACGGCCATATTGGATACTGGGGGTGGGGGGGGGAAATCGTGCAAGAGTTATTGGGACGAGGGCTTGAGATGGCCAGATTTTTTAGCATATAATATGGGTAAAAATGATTTTAAATGTGGCTGCAAACTCCTTAGTATAGATGCTACGACACTTCTAATTCCATGTAAGTAGACATCACAGAAAATGTAAGTACGCATTTGGCAATTATTCTACAAAGTTTTTTCGCGTCTTTCGGAAATACTTATCCCGCTCCTTTCATCAGTTTTCATCAGTATTTCACTACGTTCAGTTCAAGTCTGCTCTTACCTAGAGTGTATTTCACCTGTTCTTGGATGTGAATTTCTTTTTTTTGTGATTTTTTGTGGAAACGTGTGCTGAAATAGATTATGTGATGAGCTTTTTTTTTCATGGCATACAATATTTTGTACGAGAGGGCTTCAAGTGAAGAAAAGGCTTTAGAATTTCTACTAAGAAATTTGTTAGCCTGGTCCACGCCTCCAGAAAGCCCTGATGTTCAGTGTGGAAAGTTGATGACTTTAGGGAAGACAGGCAGAGGAGAAGAAAGTTGTTTTTGTTGCCCTTCACATAAAGAACGTAAGGTATTTTTGTGTACAGACACATTTTGGGAGAACAGTCAGCTGTCATACAGAAACATTGTAGAGTTGTTATTTTTCTGGAGCTTCAAAGAACCCGTAGATCATACGACATTACTCACTGGACTTTCCGAAAAAACTGTTGTCCAGTGGTTCGCTTATTTTAGATATGTTTGTTCGAGGCGGCTAGTTGAAAACAATTATCAGATAGGTGGTCCAGGTCATGAAGTTGAAATAGATGAAACTTTAGAAGTCAGGAGAAAATACAACAAAGGGAGGGTAGTAGAACAGAGGTGGGTTTTTGGTGGGGTGGATAGGGCAACAAACAAAGGATTTTTTAAAATTGTTCCAGACAGAACTGCTGCAACTCTTTTAAACATTATCCAGAACCGCATTGCACCCGCTAACTCTATAATCCATAGTGATGACTTTGCTGCGTACAACAATATAGTTAATATTCCAGTGAACCCCCCCATATATGCGCATCTGACCGTAATTCATGAACAGAATTTCGTTGACCTAGTGACAGTTGCATGCACTAACCGAGTTGAGGGTTATTGGAAAAACGTAAAAATAAGATTCAAGTGCATGCAAGGAGTACACAACTCCAGGCTTGCCTCGCACTTGGATGAGTTCATGTGGCAAGAGCTGCACGGAAAAGACCCGACAAGTGCCTTCAACAACTTTATTGACCGCTGGTCTCAGTGGCATCCTGCACCATAGTGATAAGTTGATATATATGCCATTTAAATGTTGTTTTAAATATCTAGTCTAGCCTACTAATTCTATCTAAATAGCAGCACCACCTTTTTTTTGGTAGTTTGGGTTTTGGCTCATTTTAGACTCAGCCAAACCGCCCTCCCCAAACCAAGATCTCACATGATTCGCCAAGTCTCGTTTCAAATCGGTAAGCTATCCAATATGGCTGCCAAGTAAACTAAAGAGACGGGACCGCACTGGGTAAGTACAGTGGGTGTCGCATTCAACGAGGTTGCTGAGACCGGCTTGTTGTCCTCGTTGGATCCGACCTCTCGTTGAACGTGACAGAGGCTATCTAAAGCAAAGAAAAGAGACAATTTATTATATCACAGGATGTACCAATACCAGTAATTAAAACAGTTGTTACCCCTGATGACGAAAATCTCAAACAGCATCAGTGTACGCATTAAAGCTGTGTTCTGACCGTCATTTCTGCATTTTTTAAAAAAAATTGTTCCTGAATACTTTTCTTGTGTAAACGCACCCTCTCACATCTAGGCTTAGATCTACATAAAGTAAAGGCGGGAGCTTGGCTTTTCCGATCAGGGGAAGAAAATAACATTGAAATAAATGAGAGTCTCAATTTGGACCTAGACCTTGAGGCTACCCATCTAGAGTTCATCCAGTTTCACACAGCCCGCATCGCGTTCCCACCCACCCCTACCGTAGGCTAACCCTCGCCCATCCTCTTTGCTTTGGGGCCCATATTAGGAGGCACACAAGATCTAGCCATACGATGTGTTAGTGTTTGGAGGAATCGATGATGGGCCTTGTGCTTCACGTGGGATGGAGGAAAAGGAGAAAAATTCTTCGCTTTTGGGGCCGGTAATAGCTTTTATATTTGGTTATCGCAACCTCATTGAAAGCGACTTCAGTCTGTTTGCAACCCCATTGGAGCCGACGTACATTTACAAAGAGATATAGAGGAAAAGATCGGGGATTGAGGATTGCCTCGTTGGAGCCGACTTCTCGTTGAATGCGACAACCACACTGTAGTACCCTGGACTTGGTTTCATCCTCCTATGGATCTAGATCTAGATCTAATCGCTTTATTTATCCTTGTGAGCCTTGTCGGTGATCTTGTAGTTTCATTCATTAAAGTCCACGATCCATTTGTTTACATCCAGAGAAGAAATCCAGAAGTCTTGATGACCAAATATATAGGCAACACAAAGAACAGGGATGCAACCTAACTGCAAAACTCCCTGAACCCCCCCTCCATATTTTTATTAGGTCAGGGGCTTGCCCCCTGAGACCCCCCTACTCTTCACTTTAACGAACAAAACTGCAAAATCACGAAACTACAAAATTACCGCCTTGTCTTTCTAGCAGCAGGACCTTTTCTATCAGCCTGAAAGTGAATGGAATTCTAGATTAGATTTCTAAGTGTAACAGTAAGGCAAGGTAAGGCAATTGTTATTGAATTATTGCTAGACTAGATCTATACACTAGATTTTAGATCTAGATTAGATTCTAGATATCTAGAATCTAGATATCTAGGCTCTAGATTAGATCTTATGTCTTATAATGTTAGTAGAAATTACCTAGAATCTAAGACTAAGACTACTATAGAGGCTAGATCTAGAGACCTCCTAAGGACTCTTGATCAAGCGGTATTAACTTTGTAACTATTGTCACAGATTAGTAATGCATTGCCATGTCTTGTGTGGCGAGTGACCTGTTACACATATGCAGGGTGCAGCACTCCAGTCGTGCAGAACTTACCACAATGGGGGGGAAATGCAACGGGTAAAATTGGTCTTTATGGTGGCCGGGAAGTAGTCTGCAAGTTGCGGGATAACATCTTCTCCCGGAGTGAGTGAAAGAAAGCACTGTAGTACAGAAATTTCCATTGGTCGCTGTGGCTCGAGTCAACCAATCAAAACACAGTTTTCTTCATACTTTGGCTACAGATCCGGTACCAATTCTTGTTCCGTTATTCGTAGAGGTGTGCGAGTCCAGCATATTAAGATTCGAGTCCACACTCGAGTATCTGCTCTGGACTCGAGTAATTACTCGAGTAATTACTCGAGTCCCACGGCTCTAAAGACTCGAGTAATTACTCGAGTAATAGTATCCCAAAAGGGAATTTTAGTGGGTTTCAAAAAAAGTTTTGTTGAATATCGGACAGAAAATAGAGTGCCTTCCTTGGAGGGAGCTTGAGTAGGCTTATGGCAATTCTAGACACATGCTGTTTATACCTTATTTATTTTATTTTATCTTAGGAAGAGGCTATTCTCACCCCAGGTGAGAATAAAAATGTGATCGACCTCTCACCCCGGGTGAGACTTGCCAGCGTTGGCTATTCTCACCCGGTGTGAAACAAAACCGGTTTTTCCTAATTTCTGAATACTTCCTATCGGGGAGGATGATTAAATAGACAAACCCCTTCTTTAAAAAAATGATATTATAACACAAAAGTAAAACTAATTTGACGGTCTACAAAGATGCTACTGCTATTTCACTTTTAGAATAGAGCCGAACTACCCTAATCGGCATTTTGTTTTGCCCAGAAATTCTCGCAATATCTAGGCTACTCCGCTCTCTCTCTCTCTCTCTCTCTCTCTCTCTCTCTCTCTCTCTTTCAATGCCCGCAGATAAAATTGCATGTTTTTAACACTAGAGAACTGGAACGTTTGTTTACACCACAGAATTCAATTTTTTAAAAGTGTAGACCTAGAATTCTGTGGTTTACACTGGGTATCACGGTAAACGCACACCGGAAGAGAATAGCCAAAAGGCTCGCTCTCTCACTCCAGGTGAGTGAGAAGCTTACAACTGTATAACAACTAAGCTAGAATAGAGGTGGTCTTTATCTTATCTTTTCTTTTCTTTAAAAAAAAAAAAAAAAATTCTCTATTACAACAGTAAGAATAAAATGTACACGGATGGTAAACCTCAGACAGTGGACTTCATAAAGAAAAGAAGTTTGATTGGTCATCGTGGGTTTTTAACAGTGGTTTCCTTTTTGCTTTTTTCTGGGGGGGGGGTTCGTTTTTTTCCTTTGAGGGAAGGGATTTTTTTGTTTTTGTTGTTTCTTTTCCTTCAGTTTAAAAAATTGCTTATTAGAATGTTTCTTTTATCTATTCTTAACTTTAAAAAAAAACAAATTTTTCTCCTTTTTTCTGTTTTTTCCCCCTACAGACTCGAGTCTGGACTCGAGTCCAGACTCGAGTCCTTACTCGAGTAATTTACTTGTGACTCGAGTCTGGACTCGCTGCATGTATTACTCGAGTACTCGAGTCTGGACTCGTTACTCGCACACCTCTAGTTATTCGGCTTTATGCTACTTCCGCTTGCGGTTGTGATTTGTGTTTGCACCTTGATTCAACAGGCAAGCCGGTTGTTTCTATCAATAAACATCTAGAAATTTATTTCTTCGCTGAAAATGGGAAAGTTTTGGGGAAAGCTGCTATTCTTAGTCCTCCTTCTCATGCCGACGACGTTGATGCTTGTAGAACAAGGTAATAACTGTTATGTTTATGAACAGCTTGTTTGGGTCAACTATCTACGTGGCAAATATACCTATGTAGGCCAACTCATTTCATGATCTTAATATCACTCCCTTTTGATATTATTCTAAATTTATAATGTCTCTACGCTTGCAAATTGTAAATACTACCTGCTGCATATTAGCAGTGAGTCTTGGGACCCCTCTACACTTTGTAAATTGTCCTGGGAAGTAATATTTGGACTTGGGAGCTTGTCGAAAGTTTCATTATTGCAACGATTGACTGATTCTGATGTATTGTTCTTGCAAGCTGTGGATACTTAGGCCCTAACTAACGCCCTAACCCTCGGCCTGCGGGGGCCGGGTTTATGTCGCCCGATAAGCGTATTTCAAATCAAAACGAAGTGTATTCAGACTCGGTAACTGGGAACAAAGTCACAAAGTATACAGACCCGGTAGGGGAACTCTTTTGTGATTTCGGAGGGTTTCAGCGCCCAGACCCGGTAATGTATGTGTGTGTGTGTGTGTGTGAGTGAGTTAAAGAGAGAGAGAGAGAGAGCGCAGGGGGAAGTGCTAGCAAAAAGTATATAATATGACATGTCTGCCAGTTGGCAGGAAGGAACGAAAGACAGAGACAAACAAAGAAAAAAAGAATACGAGCGATACAGAGAGAGAGAGAGACTGCTCGATTGAAATTATGACATTGTTCTTTTCTTCAAATTGTGATTCCTCCAACTCCAAAACAGGGGAAAAACGATCGTTCATCGAAAAGACATCCGCAATCTTCATTTAGTTTTAGATCTAGAATCTAGATCTAGATCTAGAATCTAGATCTAGGTCTACAGTCTAGATCTAGATCTAGGCTAGCCTCGAAACTAGATCAATGATTTATATCTGTCTGTCTAGATCTAGACCTAGGCCATAGATCTAGAAGAACCTAGTTCTACCCTGAGCCAAGAGGGTGCTGAAAGTTTCCGAAATCACAAAAGAGTTCCCCTACCGGGTCTGTATACTTTGTGACTTTATTCCCGGTTACCGGGTCTGTATACAGTACTCCCATTTCAAAACCTCGCCTGCATTCTGGTCCCACGTCTAGCCCCTTGCTCAGCGCTCGTGCGCCGAGCATCATATCCCCTTCAATTCGGGTCCAAAGAGTAAGACGTGCTACTAATGTTTCTTTCTGCAATCTCGTTGAAAACATTGGTTATTCTTTGAAATATATTGTGAATTTTTGCACAATTCTACTGTGCATAAACGAGAAATGTCCCCCCTTTGGGAATGGCCTAAAGACACTTCAGTCAGTGGCACCGCCTGGGGTGAGGGGGGGGGGGGGGGGGGTCCATACACTACTTTGTATAGATCTAGAATCTAGATCAAGTAAATCTGTCAAAATAATTTTTTGAGAAATACTGAAAGTTTCAAAGAGATCTTCGTACTAGATCTAGAAGTATTCTAAAATGTAAAGAATACAAATCTGGAGGTTTAAAATGACCCCATGGCATACGGATATATGGTTAAAGTAATGCTAACTTGAATTGTTGTGTGTCAAAGACTTGCAAAGAGTACTAACCATGACTGGCTAAGAAGTTACACAGTTATTTTCAATTTTGTCATGTTTCTCAGGCAAAGGAAGCAATGTAGCTTTTGCTCAAGATTCCATGGAAGGTGAAGATGATGAGGCAACAGTTGAGACGGAGACTGCTGGAGATGAAGAAAGTCCAGAAGATGTTGAAGGATCGGTAACTGGAAAGGTACTAATTTGCTATTAATAATTTGGAAGTGATTATTTCTCCGAACGCTCAGGGAAATAAAGTTGACCTTTATTTCTCCAAACGGTTTCCGTTCTCAAAGTTTTTCAGTTATTTGCAAGATTTAGGCGTCATCATTCATTCTGCCGTTCTTCAAGGACTGAAGAAGCATTTTTTGCATCATATTCAAGTTCTAGAGTTACAGATTTTTTTGATGTCTGAATATTAAGATACTTCAATTGTGGTTGGAGCAACGTTCCCGGACTATACTTCATTTGAAAAGGTACTGCGAGAAAACAAGACTGCCCGACTTTTGCAGTAACCTATTTTGCATTTAGTCAACCCTAAAGCATAAAGTAAAATCTTTCATATAAACAACACACAAAAAACACGCCCCTTTCGCATGTTATATATATAAATTCTCTCTCTCGTTCGTGTGCACGCTTCCCGAGCGTTCGGAGAAATAGAGCCGGCCTAATAATATTATGATGGTAAACTTAAATCATCGGTTACGGCTTTTGCCTTTTATGTCTCGTTTTAAATCCGTAACTCCCTTTGGGCGTGATAAATGCCCTGTATGAGTGTTTTCACTATTAGTACAATATGGGCAGGTTATTTATAATTTATCTCGCTATAGTTCTGTGATTGGCCCAAATGTAGATTACCTATTTTCGTCATCTTCCGGGGTTTCCTCCAACTTGTGGGTTTCCCTCACCAGTAACTGTTGACTAGATCTCGCCGTATTTGTTTTGTTTTTTGGGGAGTTTTTTTGTTTTTTGCTGTTGGGTTTTTGTTTTTAAATTTGTGTTATATTTTATAAACAATCTTAGCAATCCTTGTTCCATAAATTTACCTTCTCACCTTCTCCTCAAAGTTGTACACACACACACAGCGTGTGCACACAATTCGACAAATGCGCGCGCTCACATCCCAAGTTGTCGGCTGAAACTTAGTGTCGTAGCCCATGGCGCAGGCCCGCCATGGTGAGATGTAGTCAACTGGCGAGGGAAGCCCCAGGAGATGGCGGAAATACGACATCTATATATTTGGCCAATCACTGAGGTGTGCTAGGTGCTCGCTGTAGCTTCATGTGTCGTGACTGTAGGTTTGTAGTCAATACTCTTGAATTTCATCGAATAAAAAAAATAATGTAACTGCTCCAGTAAATTAAACTTATAATATTACGGTAAAAAACGAATTGATCTTTCAATGCATCTTTATTTGACCAGGATCACTTCAAGGCCGAAGTATCTTTTTTTATTTTAAAAGTTTTCGGGGATTGATCCACAAAGTTTCTTTCAATCAACTCTATTGTGCCCTCTGATTTTAAAGAAATTAAGAGAACATCTTCCAGTGGATCGATTTTGTTTTAATAAAGAGTAAGGAGAAAGCTTGATTCCTTGTCTACCCAATAAATATGATATTGACCCTTAAATATCTAGTATAGCAGGAAAAAAATATTATGAAGACTTCCAAATATACCTGGGACTGGGGCTCTTGTTCTGTCAGCACCTTTAGTGGACTACCAATGGCAGGGGGGGAATTCAGTAACGAGCGACCAGAATGGAATAGAGGTTAGGGGTAAGGTTAGGGTTAGAATGTCTCTTCTATTGTTGTTTTTTGGGGGGTGGCTCGTTTCGGAAGTCCTTCCGATGGCAGCATCTCTAGTTGTCTAGTTGATTAATAACAGCTAAAGTGCTGTTGCTTCATGCCGGCTTTTCCACTTTTTAGTTAAAAATTAACCCCATGTGGTTATTGTGTATACTTATTGGGAAATGAGTGATCAGTCCATGCGTGCAACATCGTACCATTTGGGTGACGGCTTTTACACTGAAGAACTTGTTGAAATGTTGTAGATGTTTTAATACGATTAAAATGGATTTGCTCAAGTTTTGGCTAAATCAAGTACTTAATGCACATTGCGCCCTGTAATTCCTTGGAGAGGATGAAATTATTTTATCTTGTGAAATGGGACTGGAAGTTTTGATTTTACAATATTACTTGATTGAATACTTTGTTCCGTGGGTGGTGGGGTTTTTTTTGTGGGTTTTTTAAAGTAATTATTGTCATTGTCTTCTTACGCTACAGCTCCTTCCTGTAATGTGATTTTTTCTCTACCATGTAGACTTTTAAAATATTGTCTTTGGTGGTAATAGATGTATTCCTTCATGTCTTTTACAAGGATGCTGAAGAAGCTGCTGAGGAAGAGGAAACGGAAACTCTAAAGCCTTCCCCAGATGCAGATACATTTGTCCTTTTCACAAAGCCAGCCAATCCTCTTGGTAAGAAAAGTGCTAAGTACTTATGGTAACCGAGTTTTTGTTGTTAATAACAATATACAATAATTGGTTTTGTCATGTCTTACAGCGTTTATATATTAACTTATAAGTAGAGCTGTGTTTTCGTTTAGAGGTATGTGTTGGACATTGGATGAGTGTTTCTAAGCTGAAGATGTTTTTTATTGAGACAACCTGAATTGTCAAAGGTGTTCGGTAAACATAGTCTCTGATTATTTCTCATGGTTAAGTTTCAGGATGTTCTTTTTATTTCCTTGGAATAAATTGTAGACTGAAGATTTCATTGTTCACCTATTTTCTGTTCGGTTGTTCTACAATTGTGGGGTCCCATGCCGATTCCCAAATTGTCCACTGACTGCTTTCTAAAATCAGATATTTTGGGCATGAGAGGTAGACCCAGTTTCTGTTGGCAAATAGATATCATGGCACCAAAGTTTTTTGGTAGATAATTGCTTTATGACTTTCTGTCTCACCCCCGGTTAACACACACACACACACACACACCCTTTTTCTTCTTTTTTTTGACAGAATTGCCTGCTGGTAAACAAGTGCGCATCTTGGTTGGTTTCACTAACAAGGGCAAACTGGACTTCTTGGTGGACAGCATGGAGGCTTCTTTCAGATACCCCCAGGACTACAGTTTCTTCTTGCAGAATGTAAGTGATTAAGAGGGAATAGTTACTTATTTCAACATAATTAGGAGGATATAAATTGTGCGTGTAGGAATGTCCCTCGTGCTCAACTTCCTCAATTCTGATTAAACTGTTATTTGCCTTCTCTCTCCGAGAATTTTTTTTGGTTTTTTTTTTTTTTTTAATAGCAGATTTGCTTTGCATGGGTAATTATAGGTTTAGGCAAGGTTTAACTTAGTTGTTAAACATTTCAAGTAAATTGTAAAGCTGGTTTCAGCAAAAGTTTGCAACTCACCAAGGTCATATAAGTGCAGAAGATTAACTCATTCGCTATGCTGAGCCGTAGGGGGCGGCGCGGCTGAAGTGCCGTCAGTACACTAAGCTGCCCCCCGGCTGCTCGAGAACCGATCTTCAATTTTAGCTTAGATTCTATTCCAATCCACATATCCATGTTAAAATAAAGGTCATAATGTTGACTTTCGGGTCAAGCGTTTCCACCGAAAAATCGGAAGTTTTGATTCAGTTTTTAAACACAATTTTGAAGTTTATGCCACTTTGTTTTATCGCGATGCTCAAATTATAGCCCAGACCCCAGTCTTACTACTTTTACACAACAAAATATAGCATTATTTTTCATACTAAAAGAATGTAGGACTCTTCTTTAGAATATTGATACATTTGGGCTCTAATTGCCATTGCTCTGTTACTGAGAAATCAATATTTTTCAATGCTAGATCTAGATTTAAATTGTCAAATTATTATTTTTTTCCCAAAATTCACTATTTTTTGTGAAATTACACCCCAAAAAGTACCACTCAATATCTGCAGACATGCAACATGTCGGGCCCTGCTAACAAACTTCTTTTTCTTGTGGTGAAATTAATTTATGATGTCTCTTGGGGAATGTGGATTACATTGTTTTCTGATTCAAATGTACTTAATTTTATCAACATTTTAAAAAAAAACAAATTCTGATAGTATGGTCTTCACAGACTTTGACAAAACATTTTTTTTAGATGAATGCTGTAGCTAAATCAATTATATTTTCCCATTTTTATAAAATATTACTTACTGATGACTTTGAAAGTGTAGTGTGTGTCTTGCTTTTTGTGTCGTTTTCTTGTTCTTCATATCATTGTTCTTTTTCAGTTCACCACCATGTCTTTTGGCACTGTGGTTGAGCCAAGACGCCAGGCAACCTTTGAGTATGGATTTGTCCCAAATGAAGCTTTCAGCTCCAGGCCTTTTGGTTTGTCTGTGACGATCAACTACAGAGATTCTGTAAGTCATAGTTCTCAAAAAGTTCCTAAATTTATCAATTTACTTCAGGTAATGTGGGTAACACTTACTGTTATATTTGTTTAATCACTAATTTTATGTTCTGGTTGAATTCTTTATTGTTGTGCACTTCGGGGCTTTTAGAATAATGAACTAATGCAAATTATTGTTAGTAATGAACTATTGTTATGTTGAAATCTGTGCACATCAAAGTTGAAATTGTTTTTGAAAAATCTTTTCCTTTTCCATCCAGGAGGGCACCATTTTCCAGAATGCTGTTTTCAATGAGACGATCCAAGTTATTGAACCGGATGAGGGATTGGATGGGGAAACGTGAGTGTTTAATTCAATACCGTTTTAGTGTAAAGTATTGCTGTTTTCCCACTTGATGTGACCTACAAATCCTGGCATGATCGCTACAAACTCTGAAACAGGGCATGGGCTCATCCCATTTGTCTCTCCATTCCTTTTAATGTGTATTTTATGTGATGATGGACAATGGTCTTAAACACTGAATAAAAACAACTGCATTATTCAGGGGGCGGTGGCATATCGACGAAAAAATAAACCAATTCCGAGTTACAACTGAAGTGGGGGGGGGGGGGGATATTTTTGTTAGCGCAGAAAGACTTGAGGCTTTGCAGCTGTATGGTATAGTACTGTGTAATTTATTGATTTCATTTTTATTTTGCAGGTAGATAAATGGTTGGTTGCATTTTCATAATGCCAACCAACAACTCTTACTTGCAACATTAATATTGGATGCTAGTTTGACCCGTGTTTGTATGCTGTACAAATACAGGATAAATGTCATCCCACATACAATTTATGTAGTGTTTTTATAGCATTTAAAATTTAAATAAGTACAGTTGAACCTATTAAGTTGGAAGTTTGGACCCTGTGATGGTGGAATTTTCCCCTTCACGCCTTGATAAATTCCTAACAAATCTAAGACGGAAACCTTTTCTACCCGCAAATGGGCAAAGAAATTCTTTCCCTTCTGGGGGTTTTGACCTGTCGCAGGCAACAATACTTTGTCCGCTCAGCCCTGATTCAAAAGAAAAGTCCCAACTAAGATTAATTCAGCTGGCTCTCTATGACATGGCTGCCTGGAAAGGAACAGGGGAAGAGATGCGGACTGTGAGTAGCTGTTGTTCCACCCATATGAGCCCTGAGCGATGCAGGTGGTCATGGTAGTTTAGATGTGAAAACTGACTGCTGCTTGTCTTCAAGGTGCGCTGGCACTGAAACTTTCCCGATAGCCAGAGGTATGAAATTTGACCTTTGTTTGCCACCCTGAGCATATGGCCAATGGCCAGCCTAGGACAAAGTTCTTTGAAGTATTGTTACTTGTACACACTAGTCATGGCTTTCTACCTTTTTTATTAGAGCTCGTTATATATGATTAAAAGACTTGTGGCTTTTGTTATAATTGATTTTATCGGGGAGTTATAGCGCAGCAAACAGAGGAGGGGTGGCATTAGTGGAATGTGTTTTATTACATCCGTGATTGGGGCAAAACATGGGAGCAAAGGATATATTAACACCAGGTCTGGAAAAAGTCTGGAATTTTGAGATAGGTCAGGAAAAAGTCGGGAATTTTGTGATGGGTCGGTAAGTCGGGAAAGGATAGGGCCTGCGTAATGTGTAGCTATCTAGACTGTATGGCTGATGAATCCTGAAGAGGAAACATAATTGAACCGCTATGGCGGAAGTGTATGTGTGACACCGAGGCTCGATCAGGAAGAATCAAGATCTGCTTTCGTTACCACCCAGAAATTTTCCGGTAATAGTCTGATAGATAACGCAAAATTTGTAACATGCAGGTTGTGCATTACGAACGCTTTGTCGCCTTGAAAATAAATCAATATTAAAAGTTTGTCCTCTGCTGTCACTTGTGGAAAAAAAAAAGAAAAGAAAGTTATACAAGCGTTTTGTCAGGTTCGCCCTTGTGACTGGTCAATGAACCTGTGAGTACCGGCGGTCTGAGCGCTGTGAAGTATAGGACTCCGGAATTGG